CCCGGGCCCCTTCCCTCCAGCAGACCCCGCCTGCGGGCCGCAGCCCGCGACCATGGTCTCCAAGTCCGACCAGCTGCTCATCGTCGTGTCCATCCTGGAAGGTGAGCGGCCCAGGACTTCCTTTTGCAAGTGCTGCTTCCTGAGTGTTCACCGGGGTTGTGCGGACCCCGAGGACCTTGTCATCCCCGCCTCCGTGGTCCCCAAAGACTGGCTCAGAGCCGTGCGCGGAGAGGCCTGCTAGGCAATTGATTTGAACGTCTCCCGGGAGTCGGGGCGCCGGGAAGGAGCTGGCATTTAGCGCAGCCCCGGGGGGTGGGGGGGTGGGAACGATTTCCAGCCGCAGCCTGTCGATGACACTCGCTGGGAGCCGAGGCTGTGCCTGCACCGCACGTTCTGTTCAGCCACCTGCCGGCAAAGGCGTTTTTTCAGGAGCTCCTTGCACTCGAATACTGCCGTTTCGGAGGAGCGTGGAGGCCATGGCCTTTGCAAGGCTGGACGGAGGGCTGGGGGGTTGTGAGGGGGGCCTGTTACACACGCCCCGGCGTTTGGGTTTGTGGGAGAGCCCTGGAGGGCCAGGCTCTGTGCCGGGAATGGAGGGGTACACTGGTGCTGGTTCTAACAGCTGGGGATGGCGAATGTGTCAACAAACAGTTCATGGGGTCAGGCAGCGGGGTGACCCCCTTTGTGGGGAGCCGGGGGAGGCTGCCTGGAGCAGGTGAAGTTTATTTGGGTCCCAAAGGCTGGTTAGGGACTTGTCAGGTGACAAAAGGGAGGAGGGGGCCTTCCGGGCAAAGGGAAGCGCCAAGTGCACGTAAGGTGTCGAAAAGCAAGGCATGTTCTGTGATTTTTTTTGTGGGGTGAGAGGGAAGTAAACACGGTGAACCCCTGTTTTTTTGAGTTTTGGAACAGTAGAATGACAAGAACCCATAAAGCAGCGGTTCTCAACCTGTGGGTCGTGAACAATGAAAATACATCCTGCATATCAGATATTTACATGACGATTCATAACAGTAGCAAAATTACAGTTAGGAAGTAGCAACGAAAATAATTTTATGGTTGGGGGTCACCACAACATGAGGAACTGTATTAAAGGGTCGCGGCATTAGGAAGGTTGAGAACCACTGCAAGAGTTGGGATAGCGTTAACTGTCAGGTCACTAATTTTTGGAAGTCACAGGACTGAAAGCCCATTGTCATTTTGTTAACGAAAGCTTTTGGACTTGGCGCTGTATCCCATGCTGTGAGGAAATGGGAATACGAGGCACCCCGTTTCCATTCAAGGATGTGGGGGTCTTGTCCACTTGGGAGTATCAAATCAGTGTGCGGGCAGCACACACTATGTTGGGGTAGACTATGGAACGTGTATGATATGAGCTATAAACGTAGGTTTTGGGGATGGGTGGGAATGATGGCTGAAGTGCTCTGAATGGTAAGTAAGCTTTAGATAGGTGGACAGAAGGGAGTCATTCCAGGCGATGGACAACCAGGGTGAGGTGGGCAGGAGCACGGTAGGTGGGACGGTGAAGAGCAGGGTAGGTAGGGGAAGGTGAATATTTAGGAATGTGCAGGGCGAGGTGGGCAGGAGCATGGTCAGTGGGACGGTGAAGAGGTAGCCGACAAGCAGGGTAGGTAGGGGAAGGTGAATATTTAGGAATGTGGTGAGACATAAGCTTGTGTAACTAGAGTGAACAGGCCTTGGAGGCTCTTGAAAGACAAATAGTTTAATGTGCTAAATAACAGAGAGGCGTGATACATTCCCAGACAGGATAAAGTTTTTTGCAAGTTTAGTAGCAGCGTGCAGGGTGGAGAACCTGGAATCAGGGATGTCAGTTAGGTGTTGCCACAAACAAACCTAAAGCTGGCATTTGGTCCTCCCTCCAAACTGTTCCTCCTCTTGTGTTTGTATTTCTATTCATCATAACCACGCCGTTGCCTTGAGCCCGGAACCTGGGAGTCATCCTCTTCCTTTCTATCCCCAACTTCCAAATTGTCACCAAGAGTTGTTGCTTTTATTTTTAAAATAATAGCAGATGGTTCAGAGAAACTTTACATGAATGAGCTTCCATTGTGAGTGCCCTGCTTTGGGGTCCTCATTATCTACCTAATTTATTGTAATAATATTTCATAAGTGTTTTCTTCCTTTCTAGAAAATACCTCCCGTCCACGTTACTATCTGGGGATGCTCTTTCTGAAATGCACATCCCATTTTCTTAAAATCCTCCGGTGTCCTAAAGGATAATGTCTGTATTTCTTAGAATAGCATACCCTTTATGGGAGACCACTTGCCTGCCTTTCAGCCTTTCTTCCTTCCTGCCACCTATTCATGCGTTCCCAGCCCTTCAACTATATGGATTGAACTGCTTGCAATTTCTTGACTACACTTCTGAAAATGCCCTTTCTTTAAAAGAAAATGATTGGGTTTCTACCACGAGCAGAATTTGGGCCATGTACCGAATTTTAAGGATGAAAAAGACAGGGTTTCTGTTCTCAAGGTGTTCCTTGTCTTTGGGATGAGGCAGGCACCTAGTTACTGTACTACGTAGCCTCTGTTCTCAAGCTTATTGGAGGTCATCCTCATGATAGTCTGAAAGTATAGGTTTTTTGACATGTGAAATTCATTTGGGGAACCTAGTGATATTTTAGAGCAACTGAAAATGAGGTCCAGAGAGAAACTTCTGTGAGTGCTAATTGGGAGAGCCAGGCCATATGTAGCAAGATTCCTAATGGGGAGTTTCAGTGAGGGCCGCAGGTGAAATTCACAGGTTTTCAATCAAGGTCTTAGCTTAATTGCTAACTAAGCTTGTACCAGGGTGAGTAGCAGCAGGGATGAATTTCCTTACAGTGACTAAAAGACCCTTAACCAAGATCTGCCTCACCAGACCTACAAACAGGTTGACTGTAGATTCTTGCTGCTTCTTCCTTAGTTCTTTAGCTTCCTGCTTTTAGTGTTTTATTTCTTTCCACTAGATCTTCCATTCCTTGAGGGCAAGTACTCTGTTTTACTTCTTTTGCATCCCATCATCTGACATAATACCTGTTTCTGAATATGCCTTTGGTAGACAGTGAAGAAACAGGGTCAGGCAGTACAAATGAAATGTGATGTGTAGATAGAATACTTAATATTTCTTGCAAATATACAACATTGTCCTTGAGAACAAAATGAATGAATACATGTGTCTATTTTCCTTAGCTAATTTGCAATATTTTCTTAACTGTTAACAAAAAAATCAATATACAGATAAATTTGTTTTATTTGCTAATTTGATTATTTCCTAACTCTCCAGATGACTTTGTTCTATATTAAGTACTGGTATAGTAATACTTGAAATTGGTGTAATGACATTTTTTAATTCTTTATTTCTAAATGTTGAGATTATTGCTGCTACAAAGGGCAACAGCATTGACATTAACTGTGATCTTGTTAGAATGCAGACTCTCAGGCCCACCCTAGACCTATTGAACCTGTGTCTGCAGTTTTACAGGGTCCCAGGTGATTTGTAGGTACATTCATAGTGTTTGAGGAGCACTAGTTTATAAATTATAGCTTTAAACTTGATTAATGTTTTTTATGAACACTGATTTTGAGTGCATATGTGAATATGTGTTAGCAAGGTAGTTTATTGAATATATGAAAAGTCAACTACTCTTTATATATCACTTTTTAAAGTACATGCTAAATAACAACATTTGATTTTTGTATACTTTTTTAGTTTTGTTAATCCTCACCTGAGGATATTTTTTTCATTTTTTTTTTTTTTTTGAGAGTGGGAGGGAGGGGGATATATATATATATATAGAGAGAGAGAGAGAGAGAGAGAGAAACATGGGTGTGAGTGAGACATGTCAATTGGTTGCCTCCTGCACGCCCCCAGGAATCAAACCCAGGACCCTTCAAGGGCGAAGGCCATTGCTCTAACCACTGAGCAGCCAACCAGCCAGGGCTGAGTTTTGTATACTTTTGATTAATCTATATACTCTTTTTTTCCCAGGTCGCCATTTCCCCAAACGTCCAAAGCATATGCTTGTAGTAGAAGCAAAGTTTGATGGAGAACAGTTGGCTACTGATCCCGTGGACCACATTGACCAGCCAGAATTTGCTACAGAGTTAGCCTGGGAAATTGACAGGAAAGCACTCCATCAGCACAGGTGGCTGTTATTTTCAATTTGTTCTGTTCTTTTTCAGGCTGTTGTAAATAAATTTATATATGTATAGATTATAGTAATAAAAAAAACCCCTCAAATATTATTATTAATGTGCCAGGAAATTTTGAAAGTACTTTGCAACAGTAATTCATTTAAAAATCAGAACACACTTCCGGCAGTGGCGGCTTGTGCAGCTGAGGGAAGATGGGTCAAAGTCAGAGTGGTGGTCATGGTCCTGGAGGTGGCAAGAAGGATGACAAAGACAAGAAGAAGAAATATGAACCTCCCATACCAATTAGAGTGGGGAAAAAGAAGAAGAAAACAAAGGGACCAGATGCTGCCAGCAAACTCCCACTGGTGACACCTCACACTCAGTGCCAGTTAAAATTATTGAAGTTAGAAAGAATTAAAGACTTATCTTCTCATGGAGGAAGAATTCATTAGAAATCAGGAACAAATGAAGCCTTTAGAAGAAAAGCAAGAGGAGGAAAGATCAAAGGTGGATGACCTGAGGGGAACCCCAGAGTCAGTGGGGACCTTGGAAGAGATCATTGATGACAATCACGCCATCGTGTCTACATCTGTGGGCTCAGAACACTACGTCAGCATTCTTTCCTTTGTGGACAAGGACGTGCTGGAATCAGGCTGCTCCATCCTTCTCAATCACAGGTGCATGCTGTAATAGGGGTACTGATGGATGACACGGACCCCTTGGTCACGGTGACGAAGGTGGAAAAGGCCCCGCAGGAGACCTCTGCCAACATTGGGGGATTGGACAACCAAATCCAGGAAATTAAGCAATCTGTGGAACTTCCTCTCACTCATCCTGAGTATTATGAAGAGATGGGTATAAAGCCCCGTAAGGGGGTCATTCTCTATGGGCCACCTGGCACAGGTAAAACCTTACTGGCTAAAGCAGTAGCAAACCAAACTTCAGCCACTTTCTTGAGAGTGGTTGGCTCTGAACTTATTCAGAAGTACCTAGGCGATGGGCCCAAGCTCGTTCGGGAATTGTTTCGAGTTGCTGAAGAACATGCACCATCCATCGTGTTTATTGATGAAATTGAAGGCATTGGGACAAAAAGATAAGACTCAAACTCTGGTAGTGAGAGAGAAATTCAGCAAACAATGTTGGAACTGTTGAACCAGTTGGATGGATTTAATTCAAGGGGAGGCGTAAAAGTTATCATGGCCACAAACTGAATAGGAACTCTGGATCCAGCACTAATCAGACCAGGCAGCGTCGACGGAAGATCGAGTTCCCCCTGCCTGATGAAAAGACCAAGAAGTGCATCTTTCAGATCCACACAGGCAGAATGACGCTGGCTGATGACGTGACACTGGACAACTTGGTCATGGCTAAGGATGACCTCTCTGGTGCTGACATCAAGGCAATCTGTACAGAAGCTGGTCTCATGGCCTTGAGAGAATGTAGAATGAAAGTCTCAAATGAAGACTTCAAAAAATCGAAAGAAAATGTTCTGTATAAAAAACAAGAAGGCACCCCTGAGGGGCTCTATCTCTAGGGAACCTCAGTTGCCTTCAAGGAAGTGGTCAGGGGTGCCGACCCCGGGAGGTGGTGGGTTGCCCAAAGGAGCCCGTTCCAGTTGCTCTTCATTAGCAGCACAGTCTGTGCCCTGTGCACCTCTCTGAGCACCACGTGTTGGAGCCCAACGTGCAGCACTCCATTCCCAATAAAGCGAGCTCTTTCTCAAAAATAAATAAATAAAATAAAAATGAGAACAACTCTATGAAGTAGATATTATTATATCCCCCGCATTACAGATGAGAAACCTGAGGCCTAAGTGGTGAAGTAACTTGTCCTGAGTCAGCTGGATAGTGGTAGAGCCCAAGCAATCCAGCACCAGCGCCTAAGTTTTTAACCACTATACCTGGCTTTTTTTTTTTTTTTCTAATGTCTGAGAGAATAGATACTCTAGAAGTGTTATAATAATGCCTACCCAATATTAAATATGCTTTGGAATTCATTGCATTTTCTATTCATTTATCGTATATTTTACCTGGCTTGCCAAGAACATATAGATATGTATATAGTATAATTATATAAAGGACTCTCTAATTAATTTTATACTTAATTTTAGACACTTGAACACTTTATTAGTATATAAAGCAGACTATAAGTTAATAGTCTCTTATTTATTTCATGAACTCTGATGACCAGAAGCAGGCAAGGACACTGATACTTTTATTTTTAAAAGGATTTAAAATATATTTCCCTCTGGGAAACACACAGTCACTTCAGTACTTAGTACTAAATCAGAACAAAATTCAACCACAGGTGTATTTTAGAGCAATTAGAGCATTAAGAAATTTACTCCCTTTTTTTTTGCTAGATCAGTCCATGGGTTTATTTATAAGGGAATTAAATTCTTAGAGAATATCAAAATTTTGTATTTGCTTTCAGTGACTTCTGGAATATTTACCTAGACAGAGTCCTGATATAAGATATTCGTGCCTACATTGGTGATTGTTTTTACATTTTTGTTAGTGCTCACCAGTACCACTCTGAATGAATGTATAGGCTAAGAAAATAATACAGATAAAATGAATATATTAATGATGATTTTTGTGCCAAGTGCAGGTTTCACAGTCATCTCACTAGATAAAAATGACAAAATTTAATCAGCTTACCCCAAGAGCCAGTATAGAGATTCCAGATGCAAAAAGCCCATGCTGTACCAGTCAGGGCCATGCTTACAGGACATTGTCATGTATTACATTACGTTACTGTTGATTTTAATAGCTTATGATTTTATGGTATCTAATTTCTTACTTTATTTTGGTTTTTAGCTATCAAAAGAACTGTAAGCCTATATGTATATTTGTAGTTGTATGTGTGTGACAATATAAGAAAAACAATTTAAAATCAATCTTAATGAATAGTGGTAATTTTTTACTTTAAAAGATTTCTATACATTACAGAAGCGTGAAAAACATTGACCTAGATGGCAGCCTCTTAGATGAGACACTAAGATTTTGACATGTTTTGTAAATAGTTGGTATATAGGTAAGTAGATAAAATTAATAGTTCTTGCCAGTTGAAGAGTTTTTCACAAACTATGGAATCTTGATAGTAGTAGGCAGCTTTGTCAAGGGTAATACAAAATCAGTTCAATATTAAGTGAAAGCCGTTTCACTTATCACCTGAATTGTTATGTTACAGGCTACAGCGTACTCCTATCAAACTCCAGTGTTTTGCCTTGGATGCTTTGACTTCAGCCAAGGAAACTATAGGTTACATTCTTCTAGATTTAAGAACTGCTCAAGAAACAAAGCAGGTATTGCCCTTTTGATGTTTATTACTGATTATGTTAGGCAGTTGTTTATTTTTCAAAATGTATCAATCAGATTGATGAAAAGGGCAGGAATACTGGGCCTGATGGATTATGGGTTTGAAAGGCAGTTCTTATGTTCTAGTTTGTGAATTTGGTTTAGAAAATCCTGATCTTCTAATAATTTCATTGACCTAGAGCAGTGGTCGGCAAACTCATTAGTCAACAGAGCCAGATATCAACAGTACAACGATTGAAATTTCTTTTGAGAGCCAAATTTTTTAACTTAAACTATATAGGTAGGTACATTGTTATTAACTTAATTAGGGTACTCCTAAGGCTTAGGAAGAGCCACACTCAAGGGGCCAAAGAGCTGCATGTGGCTCGCGAGCCACAGTTTGCCGATCATGGACCTAGAGCTATCACTCTCAAAGAAACTTGTCTCTGAGCTCAAACCTATGTTACCTTGAGCTTGACATCTGCAACTCCTGGGCTTTGCTTTCAACAGTGGTCTTCTTCCACTGTCCCTTGCTTCAGTGAATGGTCACCATCTCCTTTCAGTTCTACAAGCTAGAAATATAGGTCTTCCTTGTCACCCCAGTTTTCTGCCTCTTTCCAGTTAGTTTTTTCCCTCCTGATTCACCTACTATTCTGCATTTTCCCTGCTGAACCTAAGCCACCATCGTTTCTTACATTGGCTGTCATACTAGCCTTCTAATTGGTTTCCCTGCTTTTTGCTCCTTGCCTTCCCTACATAATAGAGTGAACTTATTGTAGCCCACTTAATGCAATGTAAACAGCAGCCTCCTCTCACCCTACTAAAAAAAGTAAAAAGAAATAAAGAGCACTCTGGGTCCTTATTTCTGTGTTAGTGCTTTTTGTTATTGAAAATATTTTTTCTTATGTCTGTTTATCTTTTAGCCTTTTTGTACATTATTGACTTTAAATATGTTTATTTTTAGTTTTTCTTAATGTCTTTGTTTTGTCACAATTTTTTAAAGAAAGTAAAGTAAAAATTAATATCTTTTATTTTAAAGTTCTCTATTCTTGATTTGAATCTTAAATTAGGATTCTGTGAAGAAAAATTTATCTGTTACTAACATTTTTGCTGCTGATAGCATTGATATTTGCAAATGAGCCAGTCAACCTGGCCCAAATTCAGAATCATTAAAAAAAAACAACTGAATTTTTAAAGTGCTTTAAAAGAGGACTTGTTTATCCCTGATCCTTACTCATCACCAATCTGCTCTTCGGTCCTAAAAAGGTTTTCCTACTTTAGTCTTGAACTCAGAACCAGGGGCCATGCTTGGTGCCCCAATGTTTCTCTTACCCAACTTCTCTGCTACAACTTGCAAGTGTCCAGAAGACACTTCTACAGTCACTTTGGTTACAGAGAAGGTAATTCCTTTTAGGAGGAGGGTATCTGAGAGGAGGTCATTCAGAAGAGCCTCTGAATGCTCTTGGCATTTCTTTTCTCCTTATCTCGTTCTTTTTTTTTTAAAAAAAATATATTTTTGTTGATTTCAGAGAGGAAGGGAGAGGTAGAGAGAGATAGAAACATCAATGATGAGAGAGAATCATTGATTGGCTGCCTCCTGCACACCCTCTACTGGGGATTGAGCCCACAACCTGGGCATGTGCCCTTGACCAGAATTGAACCTAGGACCCTTCAGTCTGCAGGCCGATGCTCTATCCACTGAGCCAAACCAGCTAGGGCTCCTTATTTCATTTTTGAGGATAGTTCGTCATCATATTAGTGATTGGAAGTTAAGGAGAAGTGTTTTAAAATTACATTATTTTTAGGAAAACCAATTGTTGTCTTGCTTACTTTTTTGTTTGCCAGCAGAAATATATGAAGTTGGCCAGTAAAATATTTGAAATTAAAAGGAATGTTATTTTCTGTAAATAAATATCCGTATATATAAAAGCCCAGCGACTGAATGGTGGAATGACCAGAACAACCGGTCACTATGATGTGCACTGCGGCAGCTAACCAGCTGATCCCGTCCCGATTGACCCTCCCAACCTTCTGCAGCCCTTCCCCCCACCGGTCCCGCTCCCGATTGGCCCCCATTGGGGCGGGCTGGCCTAGCCCCACCCTTGCATGAATTCATGCACTGGCCTCTAGTAAACAGAAAAATTCAGATTTATTTTTCTGAGTTATATAATAAAAATAGATCATAAAGTCTACAAGTAGTTAAAAATATTATTTTTCAGGCTTGTACTAAAAATTAGAAAATATTTGTCATAAGGATAATAACGAACAAATTTTTTCTTTGAAAGTACCTCAATAAATTAGGAATTTTTGTCTTAAAAAAAACAAAACTTGGTTGTGAATTTTTAAAAATCTGTGGCCTAGTTAATCCGCAACCGGTCACTATGATGTGCACTGCGGCAGCCAACCAGCTGATCCCGGCCCCAATTGACCCTCCCAACCTTCTGCGGCCCTTCCCCCCACCGGTCCCGCTCCCAATTGGCCCCCATTGGGGCGGGCTGGCCTAACCCCACCCTTGCATGAATTCATGCACTGGCCTCTAGTAAACAGAAAAATTCAGATTTATTTTTCTGAGTTATATAATAAAAATAGATCATAAAGTCTACAAGTAGTTAAAAATATTATTTTTCAGGCTTGTACTAAAAATTAGAAAATATTTGTCATAAGGATAATAACAAACAAATTTTTTCTTTGAAAGTACCTCAACAAATTAGGAATTTTTGTCTTAAAAAAAACAAAACTCGGTTGTGAATTTTTAAAAATCTGTGGCCTAGTTAATCCTATTTTGCTTACAAACAACTTATTGAACCAAAACAGCAGTTTTTGGTTTTGGTCAGTGTAAGCACCAGACCATGCCTTGATAGAACAGTGGTCAGAGTAAGAATGCTGTTTCTAGGTATTGAGATGGTGCCCTGCTGACCAGTGGTTCCTGCACTGATAATACACGTGGTCCTGGACCATGAAATTTTGAAGGCTGGTTTTAGTACTAGAATTTCTGTGGTTACTCTCGGGGGGAGTATTCAGGTAATTTAAGATACCTCATCTTGTGAGAAAGACTATATGTTAACACATTGCGAGCAGATCACGAACATTCTCATGTTTTCATATTACACAGTGTTTTACATAAATGTGAAAGGCACGTCTTAAAATTACATGCCCATTGCATTTTGAAGTTATTACATGTTCTTACAAGCTAATGTCTTTTTAAAGTATGATACTTCGTAAAACATTTTTTGTACTCGTTCAATAGAAACTTATCTGGCCACTGGCTAAAGCTAGCAATAAAACTACTGGTGCGCAATGTGTTAATGTCAGTCAAATACATGGTTCAGAATTCAGAACTCAACTATTAGACCTTTAGTATTTCGTTAATTTTTTGTTATTGTTAATATTAAACTTTCTTTTCCTTGTTTAATATAAACAGAACAAAGCAGAAATGTGCCAGGCAGAAAAGGTATAGTACAAAAAGTGAGAAATTATGGTTTAGGGAAATGCAAAATTGGTAGTCTTTTTTTTATTGTTTAAGGGATGGGAGATTGGGGACATAAGAGTAAAGATAGAAAGGAATATATTGTGTTATCTTCAATATATTACCTGTTGAAGCATAGGAATAGGAGCAAGAAAGACACCCTAAACTTTACTTCAAGAGGAAATTCTGTTAGCTTCATAAGCAGGATTAATTTCTTTTGAGGAAAATGTGGAAAAAAATATTTTAATAGAGGAGGAAGTACTGAGAAATGACAGGAAATATATTTACAACCTTATAGAATATTTCCCACTACTGTTTATTCCCTACTAATGTTTTTTTATTGTTTTGTTTTGCTATTATTCTCCAGGCACCAAAATGGTACCAGTTGCTGAGCAATAAATACACCAGGTTCAAGTCTGAGATACAAATAAGCATTGCTTTGGAAACAGATTCAAAGGCACCAGTGGATAGTTTTAAGGCAAAGGGGGCTCCCCCTCGAGATGGAAAAGGTTTGTGCATTATCTCTAAGGACATTCTCCTAGAAGTCACATCTGTGGATTAGAACTTTAGGAAGGGTGGTGGGGGTATGTGCAGGAAGATATGTGCAAGAGTGTAAACTGATTTTACTCTAGTCTATCAGGCAAATGTTGGGACATTGTTACACAAGCAGCTGTTGTTGCTTTTAGCTCTTGTTTACATAGCTTAGAAATTAGGAAAGATTTTCTTTTTTTAAATTTGATATATAACAGAACAAAGTAGAATTTTGCATTCTTTTTAAAAGTTGTTTGGGAAATTTTCTTCCTGGGATGAGTGCAGGAAAGCCAAAAATAGTTATGCTCTTCTCTATTAACTATAGTTTAACAAAACTTTCATTTTTGTTTCTTTTTTAATTACTAAATTTTATTTTTTAGAGCAGTTTTAGGTTCACAGAAAAATTGCAAAGTATAGAGTGTTCCCATATAACTCTGTCCTCACACAAAACACCTCCCACATTATCACCATCCCTCACCAGAGTGATACGTTCATTATAATTGATGACTCTACATTGACACATCATTATCACCCAGAGTTCATAGTTTATGCTAGGGTTCATTCTTGGTGTTGTACATTCTATATGTTTTGACAGATGTGTAATGACATAACTATTCTGTTAGATTATAGTATCTAACAGAATAGTTTCACTGCTCTAAAAACCCTCTGTGCTCTGCTTGTTCATCACTTTCTACCCTCTGACCTTGGGCAACCACTGATATGTTTTTATCTCCATAGTGTCACATTGTTAATTATACTGTATTAGCCTTTTCAGATTGTACTCTTTCACTTAGTAATATACATTTAAGGTTCTTCCATGTCTATTCATGCCTTGATAGCTCACTTCTTTTTAGCACTGAATAATATTGCATTATCTGGATGTACCACAGTTTATTTGTTCACTCACTGAAGAACATCTTGGTTGCTTCCAAGTTTTGGCAATTAGGAATATCCATTCAGCTACCCTATGCCTTTTGATTGGAGCATTTACTCCATTTACATTTAGGGTTATTATTGAGAGGTACTTATTTATAGCCATTTAAATTCTGTATGGCTAGGTTTCTCTCTCTGTTTCTTCTCAGCAATCCCTTACAGCAATCCCTTTAGCATTTCTTGTAATGCTGGCTTGGTAGTGATGAACTCCTTTAGCCTTTTTTTTTTGGTCTGGGAAGCTCTTTAGTTGACCATCTATTTTGAGTGATAGCCTTGCTGGATATAGTAATCTTGGTCTCAGATCCTTGCTTTCCATTACCTTGAGTACTTCATGCTATTCCCTTCTGACCTGTAGAGTTTCTGATGAGAAATCAGGTGGCAGCCTTATAGGAACTCCTTTGTAGGTAACAGTTTTCTTTTTTCTTGCTGCCTTTAAGATTCTCTCTTTGTCTTTAATTTATGGCATTTTAATTATGAGGTTGGGCGTGGGTCTGTTTGGGTTCTTCTTGTTTGGGGTTCTCTGTGCCTCCTTAACTTATGTGACTTTTTCCTTTACTAGGTTAGGGAAGTTTTCTACCATTATTTCTTCAAACACCCTTCTCTATTCCTTTCTCCCTTCTGCCTCATCTGGCATCTAATATTGTTACATTTCACATTGTCCCACAGCTCCCTTAAGCTGTCCTCCTATTTTTTAACTAGCTGTCTTCCTGTTTTTTAACTTTTTTCTTTTTGGTTCTCTAATTGAGTGATATTTTCTACTCTGTATTCTAATTCACTGATTCAATCCTCAGCTTCCCCTAATCTGCTGTGTATTCCTTCCAATGTGTTCTTTATTTGTGTTATGTCATTCTTTATCCCAGACTGTTCTTTTTTCATAGTTACTATATCTTTTTT